ATCATCTGTCGAATTTATTCTCAGTGACACTGCGGGCACTGTTAGCATTAACACAGTGTTTCCTCGATTTTAGGATGAATTTTTTTTTTCACATTTTAATTTTTTTTAAATTGGAGTGCGTCTTGCATTTTATGGCGCCCAAGGATCGATATAATTTCTAGTTTCCTGAAAACCTAATACTAAATCAATAATCAGGGCGATCAGCAGCAAGTGCCTCTAAAATGTCGGTAAACTTCTACGAGACTACATGATGCAAGAACTCAGAAGACAGCCATTTTCATATTCACTGTCGTCAGAATCTGAAATCTCACATAACCGTCCTGTCAATCGGGGATATAAAACTGAGTAGGTACCCCTCTCCCTTTTTTAATCTGAGGACGGAAACAAATCCAGATTCCGAAACACAGACGAAGGACATCGTCATATAATGTGGTGATCCCGAGAATACTGTTCATTCTTTCAGTTATAATTAATCTCTCTTACTCTAGTACATTGTGTATTAATGGCGTATAAGATTTAGTAACCAACGTTTTTAGCACATCACGTCGCATTAGCATCACACATTTAAGACTAGTATTATAATGTTTTAAGACGCTGCATATGAAAACAATAACCTTGAAACTAACAAGAGGGCAATCCTGATACGCCGATGGGTCTGGTAAACCTGCGTAACTGCGTATCCTTTCGAAGACATGTCCGTTTGTCTGCTGGTATAAAACCTGGACTAGAATAACTATAAGTTCTTGTAAACTATAAAGTCATCAGACTTGTCTCTTCTCTGAGATCAACTCATAGTCTAGCCTAGACCAGACAACAATCTTCGTACTAAGAAGCTGTCACTAAGTGCTAAAGTGAAACAACTCAGTAGCTGATCAACAGAATACGTAGAACTTCTCAAAGCGATGCTATCACATACGGCTGCTACAATCATTAACACAAGGCAAAACGTATGTATTTTAAACAAAGAAGAAGTGAGATGCATTTTGCTGTGTGAAGTGAAGAATAATTTTTGCACTACAAACAAATCTTTTTCAAGCTATTAAACAAGTGCATCCACATATTCAATATTCAGACACAGTTAATAACCCTTAAAAATGACCTACGTCTTTGAAAGACTTGCAGTTTATTTAAGTGCCAAACAAAATTTGCGTAAATAAATAAACAGGTTAAACACCATACTAACACATTCCAAATCAACATAATCTAAAAAACTAATACAAAATACAGCACATAAAAGTCTTATCCACACTTTGAATAAAAATGTGGCCCTTTCTTTCCGCAAAGTAATTGATCGTATTTTGTAAAATAATAAAATATGTTCAAAATGTAATTAAATTTTAACATCACTTATAAGTTTACATTAAATCCATGACTTTAAATGTTTTTCTACGGAAATTATAGTCTCTTGAGTTTTATAAGGCATTCAGCATAGATGAAAAAAAATGTTTTAGATATATGTAAAGAATTTAATGGATTATTGTAATTTAGTTAACAAATGTTAACTAAGCTTAACGAAAAATCGTAAGAATTTAGATCTGCATAAATCTCGCATTCTACAGATCGGCAAGCTCAACAGAAACTGAACATGTCGGTAATTTCATCTCAGTAATGAGACATTTATTTAAATAAGCCACGACGCGTCTTACCCCTCCTGCAAGATATTATATCTTATCTACTCGCAACACAATAAGAAATACGAAGGCAAATTAATTAACATTAAACGACAAACAAATAAATATTCGTAACTAATTATTTGCGTTCATTAGTCGTGAAGCAACTTTTTAAAAATTAAACCCCTTTGGGTCACAGAAGTAAAACGTAGACTTGGAAAAAATGTATTTTCACACTCTTAATCTATTAATTACATTTGGGCAACCGTGAGGACTTAAGTACCTCGTTCGAAGGTAACAATAAAATATCTTATGAAAATAGATCAGATTTAAAATGTCATCATTATTGAGACGCTATCCGCAAACTAATCTCGACTTAGAGATGTTTTAAAGTTACTGCAACCAAGTTTTATCTACATTATCAGACTTTTTTCTTTCCTACAGAAATATATGTTAAACCAAAGATGCAATAAGCCCTACAAGGACAAAAGTTAATTAGCTTAGTAATAACAGATTTATACATGGATGTCATTTATTATGTTCAAAGCAAATTAATGCGACATTAAAAACAAACAAGTGATTAAAACTAGCATTTCATATGATATTTTACGTCCGGAATGAAATGGAGGTCTGTTGATATATTCCCTGTATAATTCTTCTGTAATTTTAGCGAATGCTGTGACCACTCACACAATAACCCGCGGTAATTCATAATTTATCTCCACCTTGTCACCTACCTCCGCAGTCATTAACCAGCGGCGAAACAAATGAAATCAAATCAAACTGTTTATGTTTGTCTGTGTACCATATTTCAACCCCATTATCCAGTGCGTGCTGTTTTAAGTTCGTGTGCTTCAGTTTCACTAGCCTGTGCAATATAAAATTTAAAAGAAACACGGAAATTATTACTAAACCAATAATTAATGGAATTATGGAAATTAATTTAGACTGAAACTAATTTTGCTATCTCCTGACCCTAATGCCTATATGCTAAACAGTTAAAAATGACACATTAAACGACCACAGGTGTAAACAGAATGTCGTAGGTGTTACTTTGAAATAACATTGTTTTTTATCTTTGTAATGTCTCATAAGTCTGAAGAGAAATATTCAGAATACTTACGGGTTTTTTCCCAGTCTCATATCGTTGATCTCAGAACATATTTTGCGCTGTTAACACACAAGTAGACAGATAAATTCAATAGTCAGTTAATTTATAAGTTACTACGATGCTAAGTTAACTTCGTTGTTCTGCGTAAAATATTATTAAAGGGTGATTATGTATGATTAGGTGAAAAGTATTGGGGAGGAAGCGGTCGGCTACTGACGAACGACTGGGGTTCGATTCCCGAAAAGGCAGAAATTGTCTCTTCGCTACAACGTACAGACCGGCTCTGGGTCCCGCCCAGCCTCCTAATGGGTACTGGGGGCTCATTCACCGGGAATAAATCAGCCGGAGCATGAAGCTGAAAACATATTTTTCTAGTGTCGAGATAAAGAATGCAGCTATACCTCAACTCCCACATGTACATACAGTGCAGAAACCGAGGTATATAACAACCTAATACCGCGTCAAGGAAAGTAAATTTACGAGCCGTAGACTCGAACGGATGCCTCAAAACAGAAACAAAGCTTTTTGCGATGAGCCAATTTTCTCAGTCCTGGGACTGAGGCACGATGATACGACGTAGACTTAATATGTTCCTGGTATTCTCTGAGATCTTCCGTTCCTCTACCAATAATTTAAAAACCTTTTCTTATTTCCAAAGTCATTTCGGAAATTATCGACGATGGATAACTTTTACTTTAATCTAAATGCTGTCTTATCTCAATTCTATTTAGCAATTGTTGTATATCATTCTGCTACAGGAGTTATATATACAAGTTGAGGTATAAGTCTTATTTGTTGATAAACTTTCCAAAACGTTTTTCCTCTAATACGAATAAATATGTTCCCTAGTTTGAAACAATGGGCAATATCTAACAGCCGAATTTGCCATATCAGCACGAGAATCGTCATACATTTAAAACAATCACTGAACACTTTGCACTCACCAGCAATAAATATGGTTCAGTCTTTTACTAATAGGTTGAAACATAGCACAGAGTATTGCACGCCAATACGAACGAACAAACAAACAAACAAACAAACAGTCATATACATATAGAAACACGCAAAAACAGAGTAATGTAATAGCTTTTCACTCTACTATTGCAGCAAATGGTTGTAAATACTAGAATAACAGTTAAAATAATGGGAAATATGAACGGTAGTTTCATTAATTTGATTTGACATGTGTAAATACATGTTCTCGTTCGACCCAGACTAGGCTGTTTTATTGTCGCGTGCACATATGCACTTTACTGTACGATGTGATGAACTTTAAATTCTAGAAATATTCTGTGTTTTCATAAGTGAGATTTCCAAGGAATAGCTTGGCATACCTACATGAACTCAAAGTTCGCCTGCAACAGAAATTTATTAGGAAGTCATCATTAATACTCCTGAACAGTTGTACTAACGGTGTTTGCTTTTTATATCGACTACAGATCTAGCGGTGTTTAGACGTAATTAATTTTTACTTCGTGGAAAACCTTCATTTCTTTGTTTCCTCAGTTTAAAGTGAAAATATGATCCAAACTCCGTTACTTCTACCTTTCATTTCTAAAACAAAAGCCTGGACATTTTAATTTCCAACACATAATAACAAACAGTTAAGCAACGTTGGACATTAAGACATTTTATTCCTGTCCTCGCGAATTTATTCGTTGGCAAACAGGCAAGTTAAAAGGGAAGAGAACAGATCGACGATTAGTATTATGCCATGCCACTTACATGCTTCTCTGTTTATTTAATGTTGCTATGACAACATCAAAATAATATCCTAAAGTATGTAATAAAGAGCCTATGATGAATTGTCCCACGATCAGTCATAATTTCTGATACTATTAAATATTTCCATTGTCACTTTTTTACTATAAATGTATACGTAAACAATTAAACAGAAAAGGCCTTAATGGATTATATCTTATTTTGGACTGAAAATTTTACTATATGATATAATATTGTGTTACTTTACGTTAAAAAATTATAGTACTTTATGTTATAAACAGCTTAGATTCTTAATTATTTATATACGACATATATTTACGTATATATATTTTTATTACTGAATAAATTGTTTTATTATAATAACATATCCACTGAATTTTATTAATATTATCATTATTAGGTCTGAATAGCTGTGTTCAGAACGTACAAATAGCTATCGAACTAAGTTATGGAAGCCCATGTAGATTTTCGTCTGTAAAAGAACGTCCCTTATCGTCCTTGTAGACATGAAGACCCCTTCTGTTAATCGGACCGACTCACCACAATCTGCTCCTTACCTGTTCATGTTTCTTGAGGTAACTGAGTCTTGGGAACGCCTTGTCGCAGAACTGGCAGGCATACGGCGTCCCTTCAGTCACCCCAACGGTGAAGGTTAATTCGGTGTCGGGCACGTCCGTGGCGGAGTTGGGGGTAGCACAGGAACTAGGGGAGGGAGACGTCTGGTCTTCGGGCGTCTCTGAGCGCCACGATGATCCCGGATCGGTCCCGAGAGCGTCTGTAGCGAAGAGAACACGGTCATGATGTGATACAGGTTCAAAAGTGACTGTTGAGACAACAGCTTAGCAGTGATAGGCCTATACTATCGAACGTGAACTTGCGCAAGTAAGTAGGCCTACATTAGTTTGGTAACGCATCTCCGAGAGCAACCATTGACTCACTGCCTCGTCACTGTGGTTCGTAAAATTCGTCGCAGCTTCGTTGCCTCACAAATGAAGCTAAACTACCAATGCTATAATGTCCACCTTATGTAGATGACAGCTGGTAAATAAATTACATATCTTTAATAAATTCAAAGGTTAATTAATTACTCTATTTTCAAAATATATTTATTTTATCGTAGCTTCGGCCAGTATTATCCAATCCAGACTTTAAATTCTACTGCATTTATCTCAAATCTTTCTAATATTACAGCTCCAAATATCTAGATCTATCAAGAGTCTTAAAACTTTGGGATGCAGACAATATCTTGATTTGGCTTCGTGAAACCACAATACGTGCTCAGATTTATTCATTTGATCTTTAATGTGATTGAAGCGCACCTAGCGGCTGCTCATACAAGTGACAAAGATCGCGCGTTAAAAACTTTAAATTATCGTGCACAGCTTATTTTAATAGAAAACATTTTTAAAAGTGTGAATACAATTTATTCTGCTCTGTATTATGTCTTATAAGCCTACGCCCAATTCTTAAACCAGCCCAATGTAAGCTTCTCCAGTACGCAATTGTCTCCATGATTTACAAGTAATTCACCACTCTTAGCCCTAATACTCGTCCCAAATCTTGTTTTTAAGCGTTCTAAATTTATGGTCCAATTGGGACACAAAGCTTTGCGTATAAGGCACCCGGTAAATTATAGTTCTTCGTTTTAATCGCCAAAGTGTCTCGCTAATGTGGTTCTCTGAACTCGATATATTGAAACAACTTGTTGACCTTCCAGTACCCACACACATTGGTTCATGGATGAATTTAGATCACGATCAACTGAAAGCGCTATTCCACCAAACGAACATCGCACAGGGAGTTTTCTATTCAAAGCTGCCCAGCGCGAAGCAAACATTCTCAAAGGAAAGTTCCTCCGATTCTTACAGTCTCAAGACACAAATCAAGCACGACGCTTCAGAACATACTAAAACGTAATTATATAAACTCATGAGATATGTTACACGACCGTTAAACGGTTATTTTGTAAATAAAATATGTTCTTTTAATTTCAGTATTTGCGTGTTTAATTAACAAACTCACGAACGAACGCTCGTCAAGCGTGACGGACATTGGCTATGATTTTAAGAGCATGTTTCTTAGGCTCGGAATCATTAATTTAAATTCAGCGATCACCCTGAGGTGTGTCCTGTCACTACCCTGTTTGTAAGCCTTTACCCTTTTAAGCTTCAGACAGAAAGAGGACGAACATATTCGTAGTGTCACGCCCCAAGAGAACAGTCCATGCATCAGTATTAATGATGTAAAAGGCCAACTTGACGAATAGCTGAAGGGCGAACTTATCTCTCACAAGCTATTTCGTATATATTATTGTTCCAAAAACCGAGCCAGTGAGCGAGCGAACAGCGTGCATGTATAGTAATGCAGATTAATGGCGTCACATTTTTCTTTCCTACATTTACTCCCTCCTCTTCGTCTTCCTCTGTCCTTTCAAGGTTTCTCTACGGTTGCCCTCTTTCGTTCAGTGATACCCCTCAAGTTATTTTCTCTGTATATGGCGAAAGATATCTTATGCCGTTGATCTTGTAGTATGTGCCTTTCAACTAGATGGCAAATTGAGATGGATTGTTGGGACTTGCAGAGATCAACTAATGTCACGCGTAACCAGGGCCGTCTTGAGGCACGCCGCAAGAGACGTGGAGGGATGAGGGGGCGAGGAAGGGCACACGCTAGGGGCTACACATCCAACGCCGTTCCCCACCCTTTACCCTCCCGCACCGAAACAAATCCCATACAGAGATAGCGAAAGGAGCTAATGTAAGTTGCTAATGATGTACGTAGACTAATATGGCGTTGATTTACTCATAAATACACATGCATGTGTACAAAGAATTCTCCTAGAAGTTCCCAGAAAAATAACGGCTTTTACGCTTAAATCTTCTGTTTTCAAATTGACAGATAATTCACGATTCATGTACGTTCATGGTATTCCGTGAGGCACAAATGTAAAACAGGCGTTACCAAAATCGGTTAACATCATTCTCTGTTCACATCTAACACATATTTGCTAATCATCACTTTATTTACCGACTCACAATATACATGCAAACGTATGAGTGTCTCCATGCATCTAACAAACTGGCCGTTAACTAACTCCATACTACACGGCCCTTCTTGAGAAGCTGATAATCATTGTCCTGATTAATACATTCATGAATTCATCGCCCTGATGATAGAGGCAGTATGACCTCTGCAACGTTGGTAAAAATCGACCATACTACACAGCGCAACAACCCAGAAGACAGAAATCTTCATCGCCCTGATGACGGAGGCAGTTTGAGCTCTGAAACGTTGGTTAACATCGACCAGACTACACAGCGCAACAACCCAGAAGACAGAAATCTTCATACTCATCGCCCTGATGACGGAGGCAGTATGACCTCTGAAACGTTGGTAAACATCGACCAGACTACACGGCGCAACAACCCAGAAGACAGAATCATTTAACAGCCTTTTAAACAGTATCCTCCCATCAAAGCCTAGATCTAGCAAGCGACCTCTTTCCTTCATGTTCTCCAACTAAACTGTAGTCCGTATTTCTTACCTTCCCCATATTTGTTACATGTTCGTCCATTTTACCCTCCTCTATTTAAATGTAAGTGTTTCTTTATCGGATCATCTTGACCATGTATCAGCGTGATAGCCTGTTATCTGCTTCCGTCTCCCCATTAACTGATTTTCACAAAACTTGATATAAACAAAATGCCCCTAGAGACTACCTTCCTACTATAATTTTTAATCCCCTGTCATTAATAATATCAACATGACGGCATGAGATTTTATGTGGTATTAACATCACTAGTGCCACTTAACATCCTGGTAATCTATGTTCAGCTTTTGGTATGACAAGGATAAACCAATGGAGCTATGCATGTGGGACTCTGCATGGTGATGGGTCGTGAATAATTTAAAATACCGTAATCGGATTCTATAGATCGAAATTGAGCAGCAAACGAATAATTAATAAAATTGCCTGCAAGTCTCACTATTGGTGTAATTTCTTCAGTTTCTTGTGAATTTGTAAGACTCTCACGACGGCGAGTATCAAGACGGCTGTTTATGGAGGCAGCAGGCACATCTGAAACGTCTGTAAACGTCTACCAGACTACACGCCGCCACAACAACTCAGAAGAAACTACCTCTCGGTGACTGCCTACATAATTAAGACCAACGATGCAACTGCAATTAAGACAATCTGCCTTGGGTGAAATCACTTAACAGCAAGTAGGACGATGTGCAAGAAATGTTTGCAGTCAGTGCGATCCTGATAATATCCTTGTCACACCCGCAGGAGACAGGATGCGCGCTAATTGAGTCTTTCCTTTGCGCTCCCCGGGTGGAAAATGAAGAATTTGAGCCAAGAATTTTAAGTAAGCCTGTTAATTTTCCTTCATCCTCTTCCATTCCCTTCGTTCTCCTCTGTTTCTAGTTAATTCTTTCATTTAACAGGATGAACAGTACATGTGTCCTTACAAAATAATCGCACGTAGAAGCATACAGAGTGTCTCAAAAATATATATACACAATATAATACGGAATATTAACCTTGTGTGCATACGTCTTTTTGGGACATTCTGTATTATAAGTGGACATAAGTCCCTATTTAAATACTCGTTTTGAGAAACGATTTTTGAAATCAGAGCTGATGAAAAGACCATAGAAATTAGAAGTTTAGTTTCATGCTGTTTAATTTTAAAAATAGGCAATTAAGGGCTTTCGAGGACAAAGTTTTTAGTGCAAAAATTTTACCGTTGAGATAATAAGTGACGTGAAGACGTAAAATATGACAGACTAAATTAGAAGAACGTATGATATGAATGAAGAACTTTGATATAAAATTTTGAGTACGTATGACAGCTTGAATGGCCTAGAGTCCATATGTCTGTATTAGCACGTAGCATAATTCGTCTTCTACAGCTGTAGACTGCCTTGGCTGTAATTTCATTTCAGTTCCCTGGTCACTTCACAGATCTTTATGATCTTCAAGTTTAAACATAAACTTGAAACTGTAAGATAATTCTTCCCCAAAACTGATATGCCCTATAAAACTATATGCTCTAAAGTAAAATCCTATGCTTAAACAAAATGACTTTCAATGAAATGCATGTCATTTCAACATGCTTCTAGCCTAGAAGATGGTGAATCACAAAATTATATTATCCCTCTTAATACATAAACGTGATTAAAGACGTTATGAGTCTTGTTATATTTCAAAGAATTATGAACTTTCAACAGCATAAAAGCGAAACGAATCTCGTTTTTACTTAGGCATTTGTAAAAGACAGATGAAATCCCTCTAACATGTTTCAGAGTAGTGCGGAGATAACAAAAATTTGAGTTTACAAATTACGAAAGTTTATAGTTCCACATTATTTCGTTAATAACATGTACCTATAATGTAAATACACATAAAATACCTTAGACTAAATATGTCTCGTTAGGGAATGTGGTTCATGAGATTGAAAAACATTTCAAATGTACAGATAAATCTTCACAATAAGTATAATAATTTTGAGAAACAAATGTCTACTATGGAGCGCGAAAGGTCATTATCCTCTTTACAAGATCCCATAACTGGATCCCATCTGAGGTAAGTTCTCAGAAAAAATAAATTCGATGACATTTCGATTTTACTGCTGATGAAATTTATTTTGGTTACCTGGGGTGGAGGAATCTTCTCTGATGACTTTATTAACTACCCAAACATTATGCAATGGCAATGGACTCCACACAACTGTGACGTCACTGGATCTATTCCCTAATGACAAAGGTCTA